TTTGGGCACCTTTCGAAACCTTCTTTCATGAAATATGACTCAATTTTGCTGTACCAAGCTCGAGGAGCTTGTTTGAGTCCATATAGGGCCTTCTTGAGTCTATAAACCTTGTCTTCTTCTCCCTTTACTTCATAGCCTTGGGGTTGCCCAATAAATACTGCTTCATTCAAGTCCCCATGCAAGAAAGCGCTCTTCACATCGAGTTGGTACACATTCCAACCTCTGCAAGCAGCAAGAGCTAGAATCATTCAAATGGTATCCCAGCGAGCTACAGGTGCAAAAACTTTGGTGTAGTCGATCCCAAACTGCTGCGAGTATCCCTTGGCCACGAGCCTTGCTTTGTATTTGTCTACTTCCCCATTCTCGTTTAGTTTGGTCTTAAATACCCATTTTACTCCTATTTTTTTTGCTCCAACTGGAAGTGTGGTCAATTCCCAAATTCCATTCTTCTCAATGGCTTTGCCAAGTCCATTGCCTCTCTCCACTTCTGGCTATTGACAGCATCTTCAAAAGACACAAGATCACTAGAGGCATTAAGCATCATGAAATTATTTTCTTCTTCTTTAGATAATCCCTCACCACTTACATAATCTTCCATCCACGTTGGTGCCCTTCTAACCCTCCCTTGAACTGGACTTGAAGGATTGTTTTCAGCTTCTTCATTTGATGACGAACTAGACCCAGTAGCACCATCAACAACCTGCTCTTCTTCTTCATGTACGTGTTCTGCGTCATGCTCTTGTGACCCATCTTCATCTCCCCATTCAAGACCCGCACAACTAGCTCCTTTAGTTGTTTTACTCTATTCCCACTTCTTGTCCTCTTCAAACACCATATCTCTGCTTATAATTATCTTCTTTGACACAGGATCATACATCCTATAGGCTTTAGATTCTTGACTTAAGCCTAAGAAGACACACTGGAGACTTTTATCATCAAGCTTCTGTTTATTGTTGTCGGGGATATGCACATGTCCAATGCATCCAAACACCTTAAAGTGTGCCACTGAAGGTTTGAAGCCAGACCATGCTTCCTCTGGTGTCTTATCTTTTACAGGAAGAGTAGGACATCGGTTGAGCAAGTGAACAACCCAATTGACAGCTTCCGGCCAGAATTCTTTAGGGACGAGCTTCTCCGTCAACATGCATCGTACCATGTTCATGATCGTCCGGTTCTTCCATTCTGCGACCCCGTTTTGTTGTGGGGTGTAGACTATGGTGAGTTGTCTAGCAATACCATTTGAGCTGCAATACTCATTGAATTCAAGTGAGGTGAACTCTCCACCCCGGTCAGTTCGAAAACAACATATAACATTTCCAGTTTCTTTTTCTACTACTCTTGAATTTTTTGAATACAATAAATGCTTCTGACTTGAGATTCAAAAAATAAGTCCATAGCTTTCTACTATAATCATCAATAAATGTGAGTATGTACCTTTTATGGCTGTTTGATTCAAGTGTGATGGGACCACAGATGTCGGCATGTATGAGTTGCAGCTTCTTTGTAGCTCTCCATAAACCCTTTGTAGGAATGGTTTCTCGATGTTGCTTGCCTATCATACATACTGTGCATACTGTAGATGAACTATTGAGAGGAGGCATGCCCGTCACCATCTGCTTGTAGGATAGGGTTCTTAAGCCCTTGAAATTTAAGTGCCCAAATCTACGGTGCCACAAGTCAGTTTGATCTTCGGATGTGATCTTAAAGCATGTAGGGACAGGAACTTGAGCTTGGTCTACTTGTGTTTCAATTTCAGCAAGAAGAATAAACATTCGATTAACAGACATTTGAGTCTGCATAATCAACCCTCGTTCATGATGATAAATCTTGCATTCTCCATGCTGTATTAGAATAGCTAGATTGCGTTCCTGTAGCTGACCAATACTAAGAAGATTATTTTTAAGCTCAGGACAATAAAATACTTTAGTAATTACCTGACTTGTGCCATTGACTCGCAACTTGATGCTTCCCTTCCCCATTACTGCCATTTTGGTGTTATTGTCGAGTTTCACAACCTGCCTAAAAGACTCATCTAGATGGAGAAACCACTGCCTATCTCCAGTCATATGGTTGCTGCAACCGGAGTCCAAGAACCACATTGTTCCTGTCTTAGAGTTGTGAAGATCCATTTGAGCCATCAGCAACATTTCTTCATCTAACTCAGCATAATAAACTCCCTTTTCCCAATTAGGACATTCGTATTGGAAGTGTCCTAGGTTGTGGCACTTGTAGCACTCCACAAAAGCTTTGTTAAATCCTTGTCTGCCTCGACCTCTTCCACGACCTCGAGATGCACTTCGACCACCTCTGCCTCTACCTCTTCCTCCTTCATATGAGACATTCAAAGCTTGTTCATCACCTCTATTATGACTGTTCATTCTTTGTTTATGAACAAGTAAGCTACTTTGAAGCTCATCTATGGTAAGTTTGCTCAAATCATTAGACTCCTCTATCGAACATACCACATAATCAAATCTGGAAGTCATCGATCTCAAAATCTTCTCAATGATTATGATCTATTCCATCTTTTCTCCACGAACTTTCATCTTATTAACAGTAGTCAGTGTCCGAGCAAAGTATTCATCCACCGTCTCCCCTTCTTTCATCTGTAGCACCTCAAATTCTCTTCTCAAAGCTTGCAATTGAGCTCTCTTGACTCGTGTTGACCCCTGGTATTTTTGTTTCATAGAGTCCCATATGCTCTTTGAACTCCCTTTGTCAAGGATTGTCTCCATGATAGTGCGATCAATAGCCTGGAAAAGATAATTTTTCACCTTTAGGTCCGTGAGTCGCAACGTCTCCATTGTTTCTTTTTGTGCCTCTGTTTGCACAGCTCCATCTTCTACTGTAGGAATTCCTAATTCTACCAAGTGCCAATACTGTTTGGATCGGAGAAGATTCTCTATGCGCATAGCCCAATGGTCGTAGTGACCATCAAACTGAGGAATATCAGCTTGGACGTATTTATCTGTTGCCATCGCAAGGTGTTCCACTCGTTCTCACCAAGTGTTTCACTCTTCTCTCTTATTAGGATACTGCAGTTCCTAACTTCTCTCAACCAGGCTCCGATACCAGATTGTTGTACTCTCAAGCTTTAAACAGAAAATACAGATAACTGGAAGCTCAAAAGCACATTTAGTGAATGAAAGATACTGTGACTTTATACAAGCCTTACAAAAACAGAATTGCGAAAACAGAGCCTAAAGACGTGGTCAATCTGTTATAGGAATCTAAGCTAAGATAAGATCCTTCAAACCAGGAAATTATTAACAGAAGTAACAACTAAGATGGACTAAGTCAAATTGACTTTAGTCACCAAATATCCTAATAGCAAATACAGTTAGGTTGAAGCTTCTCTGAAGTTGAAGACTACTCTAAATGTGAGGAAAGATTTGAATTCAGTTACATGACATCTAAATGGGGAAGAAACATAGGTTGTTGGGAGATGATGCACTAACCGAATGAAAGTTAGCTGAACTTCTCTGAGTTGCAGATTTCTTTTAGTTGCAGAGCTCTGTGCAAATTAATTTGCATATTTATTGCTATTTCGTGAGTCTTCTATTCCTTGAAATTCTCTCCTCAATTTTTTAGTTTCCTTTTTTTAGGAAAGGGTTGGGAGTGGGATCTTCCCAATTCACACGACTATGCATTGTGATGGACTCAACTATGCATGTTAGTGGGCTCTGTTCTTGAAAGACCACTACTCAGAAATAGACACATGTCTAATTTGTTTTAGAGTTTGGAAGGACAGGTGTCTGAATGTAGGAGAGCCATGTGTTTGATTGAGGGAGGCTTTGGCCTGAAAACCTTCATTTATATGTTTTTCATTTTGTTTTGCAACTGTGGTGACACTGCACTCTTCTTACCTTACCCATGGTTTTCAAAACCGGACCGGACCGGACGGTCATACCAGAAAAATCGGGAATTGGTCACCTGACCGATTCTGTTTTCCCTAAAAACTATTGATTTTGGTTAGAGAACCGTTGAACCGGGCGATTAACCGTTCGAACGGTTTTGATCATTTTTTATTTTTTTGTCAGAACAGGCCGAGCATTCAGTTCGAACGATCGGACCGTTCTACCTGATAACCAGACCCCTGACCGGTTCGGTTTTAAAACCATGACCTTACCAATAGGGGGGAAGGGGTCTTAGACTTTTCATTACCAGATAGGCTTTATAAAAGAGGGGTGGTTTAGGTGATCATAGCACACGTCTTGAACCGTATCTTTTTATTTATGTGATAAACCTCTYGAGACACCGTCTGAATTGGTTTGGTAAAGCCCGTCTTTCATTTACCAGGGCGAGAGGGATGGGTTCTAGAGGGGGTTCGCATCTGCCCCCCACTTAGTTGCCCCCCAAAAACGTCCCACACATTTTATGCGCGCCGCGTGTCTGAGGACACACGCATTAAGATGGCTCGTGCGGACCTCAATTTGACGTCCGTTTGCAAAAAGGGTTTAATCCCTTACTCTCGGTATTTTTCTCCCATTCTACTGCCGAACTGAAACCTTGGCTTYCCCTTCCATAGCCCACCAGAGATCAACTCTTTCCAGTTCCACCGATCGATGCCGACTATCATTAGGGGTGTCAATTAGACTGGATTTGGTTCAATCTGGTCTAGTTCAATGCAAGTATTATAAATGGATCTGGTTCAATCCAGTCCAGTGAATATTTTAGACTATTATAGACCGGTCCAGAGACTGCCCAATCTGTTCAAATTCATGTTAAATTAGATTGATTTCAACTCAAACTTGGTCCATTGACACCTATGTTCTTATCTTCTATCAATGGATCAAATATTGGCTCAATCCAATATAAATTCATTATGGATGGACTAGGCCCAATCCAATATTTTATATTGATCCGTCCAATCCGTCCAAATTCAATAMGTCTTATTAGTCCGTCCAATCCATCCAAATGAATTTTGGTTTGAACGGAATCCAATCCAAAACCGGTCCGTTGACACCCATAACGACCGCTCCGAAATCCGTCGGAGTCGGAGCCTATTTCTTGTTGAATTTGAGCTCAAAGGGAGACCCACTTTTTAGAAGAAGTAGGACCGTAACTTAAAGCAGACGTGTCTCATCTTCGTAAGCCAACCAAAAAGGTCCAAAACAAGAGGCCAAGACCGAGAGACAGATTTATATACAATACAATTCAACCGATCAATTAATCCATGGAAGCCATAGCAACTCTCTTCATCCATCTCCCAAGGAAAAGCAGCACTAAGCTAAACATGTACTTACTTTCAGACATGCCTTCAGTGTCAACGATGCTATCAGCCTACGCCTCCTTGGCCGCTTCCACCATGCTCATTCGGTCGGTGGCCAACAAGTTCATACCCCATCAGCTCCAAGACTACATTTTCTCAGGCCTCCGCTACCTCTTCTCCCCTCGGCCTTCTCAGCCCACGCTCATCTTCGAAGAATTCAGTGGGATCACCCGCAATCAAGTCTATGAGGCAGCCGAGTTGTACCACCAAGATCACCCCCTCGATCGAACGTCTAAAGGTGTGCAGGCCCCCAGAGAAAAGAACCTCGCCATCACAATAGAGAAAGGCGAAGAGGTCGTGGATGCCTTCAAAGGAGTCGAGCTCAAATGGAGTTTCGTTTGCTCTGATAACGAGAGGACTGGCAGCACGGAGCGATACTTTGAGCTCAGATTCAACAAGAAATATAGAGAAAAGGTGCTGGATTTTTACTTGCCATTTGTGTTAAACAAATCGAAGGCACTCAAGAAGGTGTATGGGGATCAATCAATCTCGACCCACTCCCCTGTTTGAACAAAACAGGGGAGTGGGTTTGAGCTCTGTTACTGGTGAAAATCGGCTGAAAGAGTGAAACGTACCTCCGGTAAATGAATATTCCGTAATGGTCGTCGGTATCAAGCCGTCAACCGGTGGAACTCGAAGCCCACTCCGGCGGGTTTCAGATCTCAGAATGTTAGAAGATGAATGAGAAAAAACAACAAAAAAAAAAGATAGGAAATGAGAAAAACTTACGGAATACGTACTTCCTGCCGGTATGGTCGTCAGCATCGACCGGCGGAACTCGAAAAGTTCATCTCCGGTGGTGGGCTATGAAAGGGGTGCAAAGGTTTTAGTTTGGCAGTAGAATGGGAGAAGAATACCAAGGAACCTTTTTGGGCGAGATGGAATTAACGGAGTATTTGCAAACGAACGTCAAATGGAGGCCGCACGAGCCATTTTAGTGTGCGTGCCTGAGGACACGCGGCAGGCATAGAATGTGTGGGACGTTTTTGGGGGGCAACTATGTGGGGGGCAGATGCGAACCCCTATTTGAAAGGTAAAAGTGCCTTTTTATTTGAATCTGTAGAATATCGTAACAGGCTGGAAGGTATTTTAAGTCCATTTCTAAGCTTTAGGGTATGTTTAAGTCTTATCCTCTTTTTGTTTGTTAAGGTCGTTTATGCTTATGTCTCATTTTGGTGAAAGTAACGAATGTTCTTTTTTTTTTTTTTTTTTTTTAGAGAAAGAAATTGGTCAATGGGATTTTGATTCCTATTAACCAAATAATCCATAATTTTTTTTTTTTTTTTTTTTTTTTTTTACATTTGTGTTTCAGCTTTATATCCTTTTTTTTTTACATTCGCCCACAGAGAGAGAATAAAAGGAAATAAACGAGGAAACAAACAGAGTTGTGAACACGGTGAGATTCTGGTAACTAGAACCAACGATGACAATCAAATTCCAATGACTCCAAGACCTGAGAGGCCGTACCATTTTTGGGTTCTAACTCTCGTGTCATTGCCATCAAAGTTGCCGTTTGGGTTTGGAAGTCTGTCTGTCTTCTTTTGGTCGTGTGATTAATATCTGCTTCAATCCATTTGGGTTCAATCGATTGGCCTAATCTTTCAGATTGTGAATATCAAAATGAATGTGGAGGAGATGAACTATGAAGTGAAGCATTTGCTGCAACAGTAGCTAAAAATTCTTTTAAATATTTAAGTTGCTGGGTTCAGAGGAAGCTCTGCATTTTGAGAATGGCCAGAAAGGATTCGAGGAAAACTTGTCGAGTTGCCTAGACAAAAAGCATTTGTTAGGACAATCGAAGACAGGAAGTGGTTGATTATGAATCATCCTTTTTTTTCTATTTTTAATTCAAGGAAAATATATATATGGCTAAAGCCAATAATGTAATATACTTTTTTGCCACTCCTTAAATGTTTGGAATTTCATTGTTGAATTTCTGAGATATCAAGACTAAAGAGAGGATTTTCTCTTCTAGTATGGAGAGAGAGAGAGAGAGGTACACTGGCTGATTGATTGTTCCCTGTTTGGCCAAAAGGTTGAAGATAATAAACAGTGCCTCTCACCCAATCAGAGCTTTGAGAGTAAATAGTTGAGATGATGTGGCATGTTTGTATTGGAGGATATATGCTAATGGTTGTGGACCAAAGGGTCTATAGGATGTGAATTCAATGGCATATACTGGAATAAGCAATAATAAATAAATGAGGTTTGGTTCAAGGTTTAAAATTTCGATATGAGGGCGTATCATATCATATCATGGCTTCACGATATGCCTTTTTAAAAGGGTTTCAGGAATCACTTTTTTTAATAAAAAAAATATGCTTAAAAATATGCCCAAAAAGCAAACTTAAAAAAAAAAAACTAAAAAAATATAAAAGCACATTAATTTAAATAACGATAGGCCCATGCCGACATCCAAATTTTAAACCTTGATTTGGGTTATGTGCACAAACGATTCCTAAAAAAAGTACCAGTGTACCAAACACAACAATATAACTACCAATCTACTTGAGCTTAAGGGGTGATGTTAGGTGGGCCGTACTAATAATACACCAGTGGGTGGGGCTGTAATTGGTGCTGAGAAAGAAAATCTGTAGTCCTGATTTAGTTGATAAACAGTTCATGTATCATGGCTCAAAGAAAACCAGTCCAAATTTCCTGCAAAACAATTATAGGCATCATCTATAACCACTGATCAATAAACAACTGATCTAAAGTTTAACTGTAACTACAAGGACACAATGATTTGGTGTGACTACGTCAAGATAAAACACAAACTCTTCATCATCTACATCAAGTATTCAAGTCAGCACCATTGGTTTTTTTTTTTTTTCTCAGCCCTGATGATGACCTTTTTATCTACTATTGACCTTGCCCGTAGAATTTAATTAATTCAGTTACTCTTTCTGTTGAAGAGGAGAAATCAATATTCAACAAAGCTAGAAGGTTAAATTAGTAATTTAAAGAGGTTTACACAAAACAATAAAAGGGGGAAAATTTTAAATATACAAACAGGAAAGAAAAAAAAGATAGCAACAACAGCACATCATCTGTCGTTTTTTGACATTCACCGCCATATCTTACTTTGATTTAGTGCCATCCTTTGTAAGAATTCAGGGGGAACCATTGAAACGGATCTCAACACCTTTACCACCAATTCCAGCTATCAAGCATTGGAACCCGCATGATTCTAGGTCAGCAATTACTTTATCCACAACAGATGTTGCTAACACTGATTCATGTTGTCAAGGATCTCATCACTGAACACTGAACCTCAAAAGCACTTCAATAGCTCAAAAACAAGAGTAACAGTCAGAACAACGTCGAGGAAATGTACCACCTTGTGAGATTTGAACTTAATTGTGAAATGTTGCTAGACCACTCTGTTTAGAGATGGTTGACTGCACCAACATCTCAATGAACTGAGGATCTGACTAATTAGTCCTAATATTTAATTCCTCATATGGAGGGGATGGTCAATTTTGTATACTCTTCGTCATATATGTATAATATAGCTATAGTTGCAACCACAAATTTTCATGGCAGATCTACCAATAAAGCAACATATTTCAACTTTATTAATTTTTCCAATACAATTTTTGTCATACTAATTCCCTGTATCATGGGACTTGTTTCAATCCATACACCAAAGATATCAACCAAGGTACTAGAGTAATTCCCTAAAACATTTGGCTAGGCCTCCCACTTAGAAAAGGGGCTAAATAAATTTTAATTCAAAATAAGAATATATATAGATTTGTGCGGGTCCTACTCTAGCTATAAAATTATGTTTTTTACTATTTTATGTTTGAAGATTATCTCATATCCTTTAATAAGAAATCAAATCTAATTTGGTTTTCTAACCCAAATAAAAAAACAGAACAAAGGCTTTCAAGACATTACACTGGTCTGAAAATCAAACCTAATTTAATCTCCTAAATCAGATCAAAAACCCTATGTGCTTCAAGACTTACCACATGGATAGTGGGTCCCAAACAAAATACGTATGTACAATTCCCCTATACAGTACGGTATCATTAATTGGTTCAACTCAAACTAGGCCTTGTCTCAACTTTCAACTATATGGGGTTGGCTACATGAATCCTGCTCCCGCATTATGCTCTAATCAGTTCCATATCCATTAACTTATGGGCCCTTAAATCATCTTTAACTACTTCAACCATTCAACCCATGTCCATTTTGGTCTGCCTCTATCTCTTCTAGACCCTTCAACTTGGGTCATTAACTAGTTGTAATTAAGCAAAAGGTTTAGTGGTTAATTCATCTCAATACGAACCAATATGATCCACAAACCTTCCACTTAGCATATTTGGGGCCTAAACAGACCACAGATGTACATATCAAAGCAACACACTATAGGCAAGTCCATGACAATAATGACCTTTGCTTATTATTCCTACCTCAATTTCTGTTTATCAAAGTCATTCATGGTCCATTCATCTCTGAACCATTAAAATTAATACTTTCATTCATGGTCCTAATAAACTAAGCACATTAAATGCAGATGCATCAAAATAGGATGCAGTATTATGTTAATCACAGAAGAAACCCAGTTAACCCTAATATTGGAATCATATTGGACTTGGAAACTAGTTAATAAAATGCCTGCATCTTCACAGTTGTAATTACAAAATATATAAATAGAGAAAGAATGTTAGCAAAAGAGCAGTATGCAATATACTAAGATGGTCTAAGTTAGGTTCTATCTTATGGCATTTATATAGAAAACAAAAATGAAAAATTAGCAGAAATGAAAATCATAAAGTGACCGAAGTAAATACTGTAAGATTGGATACGTGTAGGTAACAATGTCAGAACACAGCCTCCACCCCCAGCCCCTGTAAGCTTCGAAGTTAATTTGTACTTCAAAGTTGTCTGGAGCACAGTTTCTATAGAAGCATGGCCGACCCCCATGCACTGGAGAAGTCCCTGATTCATTTCCATTAACTCTTCTAGTTTTGCTTCCTTTTCAGTTATAGCCAGATCATCAGGAGCAGGTGACTGGATAATAACAGATAATTCCCTGCTGATAGAGTCAACAGCAGAAAACACTGAAGCCATGGCATCTGGATGCCTTAAGGTCCTCTCTGAAACACCAGCAACCAATGCCTTTGTGTTCCTTCCAACCCTTGTATTAGTAATGAGCATCCTGAGGGGTAAAGTGGGCTTGATGCAACTCAGATTACCCAATTTGAATGTAATCATGTTTCCTGTTATATAGACTCCAATTACAATTAATCTTCAAAAACAGAAATCCTCTTGCAATGGCAACTTAAAGAAATACTACAGTAGTAATACAATGAAATTGATGAGAAAAATAAACAGAATGTCTGAAACAATTATAACAGAGTACTTTTTTTATGTTTTTTTATTAGTAACAGACAGAACTTACTACTTTATTAACTATAGGAAGTAATGATGCATTTGTTTCTGTCTTAGGAGAACAGAGAGAGAGAGGAAGTTTTTAAACAGAAAAGGACACTAGAAGAAGATAAATTAAATTCATTTTAAACTTCTAAGAAAAATCACATACCAAATGTGCTTACGGTGTTGTCAATTCCAGATGGTTTGCCATGAATTATTTTTTCACCCTCAAAGGCCCATCTGTTTACCAATTCAAGATCGGTCTCAGAAAATGTTAACCATCCTTGGTGGTTGAGATCCAAACTTACAGCATCAGAAAGTGCAAGCAATGCAGCAGAAAGTGCAACACAAAATGCGGCTGATGAACCCAAGCCCGCACCAAAAGGAAGATCAGATGTGACAATCACTGTTGCAGGCTTACAACTGACAAATAAAAGGAACCAGCTCAAAATGATCATTATAGTTAGAAGAGAACATTAGAAGCTGGGAACACATTTAACTCATGGGAAGCTTAAGTCAACAAATACCCTAGGATTGAGGCATATAGCCAAAGGAATGCAGAAACTCCAGCAGCAAGTCCTGCATTTGCCTCTGGAATATCCTGTTCCTCAACAAGAGCAGCAATCAATTTCATGAATTGTGGTGAGCATGCTGTTGGTGATGAAGAAGAAGGAGTACTCAGCTCAGGAAGTGCTTCTCTGATTCTTCCAACTGGCCAAGAAAAGTCTAATTCTACATCCTTGAGCTGAAGTGTAAGTAACCTGTCACCATTCTCTGCAGAAAATAAATATGCTTCCATAAAATGCACAAAAACAGCATGCCAAAGTGATCAGTGCATGTATGGTTGATGAATGTATCATCATCTTCTCCAATACAAAAAGAAAGAAAACAGCTCAAAATAAGATGGTCCAAGAAGTTGGTAAGTGGTGATATAAATTTTACAATTATAACCAAAGACAATCGGTTAATAGCCAGTTTGTACAGTTGGTCATTAAATATAAACACATTATGTATGTGGAATTTGTACAGTTGGTCATTATTTCATTATGAACCGTCATCTACTTCATTGATATGAGGAATCTTTGCAGTTTCTCTGGTATCAAGAGGTCCATTACTTTTTTCCCTTTTCTGGCAAAAGCTTAGGTGAATTGAAAATCAATGGAATTGATTAGGCTCCATGTGATGATTTTGGCATACAACTTAGATGACTTGTATTTTTCTTAGGTTTTCTTTTTATAAACACTTCTATAAGAATTCAAATAGGATACATTCAAGATGAATATGAAAAAATGAAAAATTTCTGCAAGGCTGTAATGCAGAAAATTAGGACACTTTGCAACCAAGGCCATTCAAGATGAATATGGCAACTTGAAAATCTTTTACAATTTAGCGCAGCAAATAGGGAAATCTTGCAACCAATTCTCTAATTCTCATCAATCCAATGTGCTTAACTATGACTAGTTCTAAAAGTATCTAGCAACCATGCTTAATGGATGAAAGTTCTTGAAGGAACAGCTTCAAAGTGGTCTTGTTAGGATCTATAATCATTCTTCTAGAGAAGCTTGTCATGTGAAAAATTGGTCCGAGTTTCATAAATTGATCCTCTCCTGCCTGCCAATGTTATGAGCAGTTCTAAAAGTATTTCTAACAACATTGACTAAGAGATTTAAAATCCTTGAAGGAAGAGCGTCAAAGAAATTCGTTGTTCGGATATAAAATTCTTTCTTTAATGTAGCTTCTCATGTGAAGAGTTCATAGACCCTTCCCTTCTTGGTAAACGTAACTCGTCATTTTCGTTTAGGTACTATTATGAAGTCTTGTTGCTTCAATTCATCCCATCGTCTTCATAATATCTAGGAAGGGCGTCTCTCGTGTCCATCCACATCAATCAACTTAGACAACTAAAAAAACGATACCTGCTCTCTCTATAACAACATCGAAAATAGGAACTCTCATTTATGGATCACAATCAGATAAAGATAACATACACACAGGAAGAGCGGGGGAGGGGGAGAAGAGGGAATCAAAACTTGTGTTTCTGGACGAACAAAAATGAGAACGATTCAGAATGAATAGGAATTATGTAATTCTGATAAAAAACCATCATCAATCTCCGGTCATAACCAAATGCTAAGAGTTTCCTGCCATTAAACCATTCATGAAACCCGAAGCAGCCAAAAATACAGTGTGTATTAAACCGATATCTAATAGGTAAACATTTCTATTTCCACTTGCATAAACAGATCGAAGAACAAGCAGAAAAGGAAAAGAAAAACACATGCAGGCATAAGACAATAAGAGAAATTTGAAGCTGAAACTTCATACCGTGATCATCAAAAATCCGTAAATTAACTTGAGTGTAGAGATTAATTGAAGCAGCGATGGCGGTCGATCCGTGGACGACGGCGTGTTCGCCGGAAAGTATAATTTTACCGGGAGCTCGAGCTGTGGCTTCCATTATTGTTGTTTCTCTTCCTGTGATCTTTGTCTCTCTCAGAGTTTCTAACAGTGTCAAGTATAAAAGAGGGGAAAAAGAATCTTCGACTTCGACGTCAAGGTCGAGGAGGCTTTCAACAGAAATGCCAGATGCGCGTATTCTCACGTCTCCTTTGTTCTGGTAGAAAGCGTATTCTCACTTCTAAGCGCTCTCACGCACACGGTCACGGAAGTGAGGTTTTGTCGTGTTGATGTTCGTGCTGTTTGTGGACCAGCCTTATGTTGCCAGCTCAACAAATTACTCCGTATCTGCTGCTTACATATTTGGATGCATTCTTTCATGTTGCAATGAACGGGATTTACTCCTCAGAGCGCACCTCACACCGACCTTAAAGCACATTCCACCATCGGAAAGACTACAAATATATAAAAAGACACGGTTTTGCGCTTTACCATATTTATATTTGTACTCCTTTCAAATCGAGCTTAGCAATATAATAATAAAGGCAAATTTTTTAAAATATCCTGAAGGTTTAGAAAATTGATTAAGGTAGTGTTTGAGAATACTTAAAAGAAGTATTTCTTTAGAGATATAGGATTATACATTAAGTGGTTTTTAAGTATGGGTGTTTGGTAAAAAAGTGAGGAAAAAGTAATTTTTTTTAAAGTAATTTTTTGAAAAAATGACTTCAAATTGGTTTTTTTTAAGTACTTTTTGAAGTACTTCTCGAATAAATGAAATGAACCAATCTCTGATAATTTTTTATAATGCCTAAAATACCCCCGTGAGGGTTATACCTCCATCTCCATTCATTCGAACCTCAAACCCAAGTAGCGGGGCATTAGTTGCAGGTCCATCGGCAACGATCGGCAGTGAAGAACAGTGGTCAGCGGACCTATCGTTTGGCCTCTTTCTTCTATGTTCTGAAGTACTTTTTGAAGTACTTCTCGAAAAAACGGAATGAACCAATCCCTGATAATTTTTGATAATGCCTAAAATACCCCCGTGAGGGTTATACCTCTGTCTCCATTCATTCGAACCTCAAACCCAAGTAGCGGGGCATTATTTGCAGGTCCATCGGCGACGATCGGCGGTGAAGAATAGTGGTCAGCGGACCTATTGTTTGGTTTGGCCTCTTCTATGTTCTGAAGTTTTTTTCTCATTTAATCGCTTTTTTTTTTTGTTTTTTTCTAACTTAAACTCCCTGCTCTTTGTAGATCTACACTTGTGAACTCTCTTGTTCGAAAGGCAAAAAAAAAGCTCGATTAGAAAAGTAGAAGAGTCGATATGAGATATTGTTGTTGTTCTGTTCACTTGTTCCTCTTCTTCCCGATCTCCCTCCGTCTCTCAATTCTGCTTGTTTTATAGGAAGAAAGAAATGATCTCTGAGATCAGTGCTAACATGATCTCGAGGAGTTATAGTTGTTACCATTAAATGGTTTTATGTTAGGTGCTAACGGTTGACTGGTTTTATGTTAGGTGCAAAAGATGGTCAGAATTAATAGTTCTGCGTCTGCCCTGTTGATAGAGGTGCAGGAAAGGTCGACATAATTAATTTTCTAGTTCCACTAAAGGGTTTTGTTTGATATACTGGAAGGTTGCAGAAAATTTCTTTCTTGTTGATGCGTTTCAATAACCTTGCAAAAAGAAGTTGACAATCCGAAGATTTCTACCAACTTACGGTAATAGCAGGAAATAAATACAAGTAGCAAACCCTTACCTACATCTAAAGATTGCTTTGGTTGCTGAAGAAAAAAGTAATTATACGGCCTTTCGAAGAGCTTCAGAAGTAGAGTAACCCTTCCTTCAAACGAAAATACATTTCCGTTAATGGGTTTGCATTGATTTACAGAAAATGGGTAAAAGAAATTCCGTTCTTCATTCATTAGTGGATGAAGAAATTCTGGATGCTGAAGAAACTCTTGTAAAGAGCTCTAATCACAATTCTACTAAACATAATAAGAAGTAGAAACAGTTGTTGGATGCATCAGAACAAGAACTAGAAGATGATGTTGTGAAGTGAGGGCTAAAATTGTTATTTGTGTCAATATAAGAATTTATGAGAAAAGTAACTTACCAAACATCCCCACCCCAATAAGTGCTTAAAAACATAATAAGTGATTTGAAAAGTGAGTTACTAAATAGCCTTTAAGTGGTTGTTAATTTCTGATTAGTACTTAATCATCAAACATGGCCTAACTCTATCTATATTGTTTGGAAAAATTTCTGATTAATACCTTGTACATGTTGGGCCCAGCCCATTATGGGATATTGACCCATATTATAGCCCATTCTCCTTCAGCCAACTGTTTTTTTTTTCAAAAAAAAGAAAAACAATAGGGTTAGATCTTTTTTGCGCGCGGCGTGTTGAAGAGAGAGAGGAAAAGAGAGAAATCGAAATACTGTGCAGATTTCTCAGTGTGCAGAGTTCATCAAACGGCCGGAACTTTCTGATCCACCGTCCGATCGAGCAGAAATTTGGATAGTAAGTGGATGACTCATTTTTCTTCATTCTGAATGGTCAGATCTTTGATCGGAGCTCTGAATCGCCAGTTATTTGATGTCGAATAGAAGCAACTCGTAATTGTTCGGGAAAGGAAAACATTTCGCGGCAGTCTTCATCAGTTATTCTGATCAAGGGTCATTTGTGGTTCGATTTGGCTGAAATTTGGTGG